TTCAAAATCTACAGGGTGATACGTTTTTTGAGGTAGAGGCTTCTTATTTATCCCCCTCAAACTTTTTTGTAGTACGCCTCTGGCATCTTTCAGTGATCAGATTGTTTGGATCGTTCATTTTAGAGGCTTTTCGTCTTTCAATTTTTTTCGAGAAACGTACCGTTTTTGAGATAAAGAAGCATATACGTTCTAAAACATGTTTATTTAACCTATGTTTCGCTTAAATTGTATTCTTCGACAAAATTGAATGCAATGAAATGTACTCACTAAAATTGCAATCACTAGTCCAACCTGGATCAGTAACAGGAATACGGCGGGTAGAAAGTAAAGTTTTTTTTTTCAGTTAAATAAAATTCAAGCGAAACATAGGGAAAATTAACATGTTTCAGAACGTGTATGCTTATTTATCTCAAAAACGGTTCGTTTCTGGAGAAAAAGCCTTCAAATTGAAGAATCCACACAATTTGATCACAAAAAGATGATAGAGAGGTACTACGAAAAAGTTTGGGGATGATAAAGAAGCCTCTACCCCCAAAAACGTATCACCCTGTAGATTTTGAAGATACTAAAATGGCTAGAAATGATGATCTTCTAAGACGTATCGACCACACCAAATTTCAAAATAATATCTTGTGAAGTAAGCGAGATATTCCATCAATTGATAGAAAAAAATAATCAAATTTTGACCCCCTGTAGCTCCGCTACTGAACGAGATCGGACTCATGTTTACATGAACTTTTTTGATGAAAATGATGAGATCTATCTCCCATTTCAGTTTGTGCCTCAAAACCTGAATCACCCTGTATATGACCGTTAAACGGCTTCTCTATTTCGCTATTTTCCCTAGTATTTTCGATGTTGTTGCATAAAAAAAACATCTGAGAAAAAGACGTTGATGAGAGGGAATAAGATTGACCACTCCATGTTTGTTTTCTATTCTTTTAAAATTAATTGATATACATAGCACCTGAATCGAGACCTGAATATACAAAACGGCCATTCAATGTTTGTTTTCTGCGCTGCTTGCATTTTTTTATATCCCAGACATATTAGATTATTCCAGTCTGATAATATACCTATAAACGACGCAGATCAGTTCTTTATTTAAACTCAACTTATTGCCAAGTGACGCCTTTTCGACACTGACCTACGACAAAACTAAAATTAATGGAATCATAATTGGGTTTATTATTGAATTGGCTAGTGTCTCACCAAAATTTCGCAAAAGAGTTTTCATGTTGGTTTCCTACATATATTTCCTTTAACATGTTTGTTGAGTAAGTAATATGTTGAATTACACTTATTTTATTATTCATATGTGATCTCCTACGCATTTTTTTATTTTTGGAGTGTTTATACAAATTATAAAGAGTTTATACCTATAGATAGTTTTTTGCTGATTCTGGATTTTGGTGTCAATATTGTGATAGGTAGCGGAAGGAAGTTTATAATTTTTCGAGTCGAATATGCAGTCGGATGTTGATACTTTCCTTTCCTCAGTTATAAAATATCATCAGAGTACAGAGTGGAACAAGTTCTTGACTATATATACAGGGTGATCCACGGTGAATGGCATATTAAAAGTATCTGGAGAACGAAAAGACAGAACATTCTGAAAATTGGGATGCATCGATAATTAAACATTCTCTATCCGCCAAATATATTTTCATCGATACAGTGTTGCCACTTATATCAGAAACAACTAGCAACTTTGTTATTTCAAATGGAACACCCTGTATTTTATTGCATTTTTAGATTCTTCCTGAAGAGCTGATTTCATCAATGCCTCGATCAATGCATCACACTTGGGGTCTAGCAGGAATGATTACAGAGATATAGGGTGTTTGAAATCGAGATTTTTCAATTTTAGGATTGTTTTTTGTCGAAACTATGCATTATCGATCAAAACGGCTTACATGTCCCTATCTTAACTTTTGATTCACTATCTACTGGAATTTAATTGGAAAAAATACAGGGTGCTTCAAGATTCAGAATTCTGATCACCCTGTATCTGTTTCAATTAAATGTCAGTAGATAGTGGATCGAAAGTTAAGATAGGGACATGTGAGCCGTTTTGATTGATAATGAATAGTTTCGACACAAAAAAATACTAAAATTGTGAAATCTCGATTTTGAGCACCCTATATCTCTGTAATCATTCCTGCTAGACCCCGAGTGTGATGCATTGATGTTAATCAGCTCTTCAGGAAGAATCCAAAAATGCAATAAAATACAGGGTGTTCTACTTGAAATAACAAAGTTGCTAGTTGTTTCTAATAGAAGTGGCAACACTGTATCGGTGAAAATATTTTAGACGGATAGAGAATGTTCAATTATCAAAGCATCCCAATTTTCAGAATGTTCTGTCTTTTCGTTCTCCAGATACTTCTGATAGGCCATCCAGCGTGGATCACCATGTATAGTGATAATCTCCCGATAAAAAAATACTCTTAATCAACCTGGAGATTTGGTATTCCCCTGATTTCGTGATATCTGGGAAATCGTAGTGATTTTTTTTTTGGCTAAAATCAGACAGTTTCGAAAATAAATGTGTACAAATTATACCCCTCTCAGTTTTTTTACTAATGGAGCAAATCTCCTTCTTATCACAGGCGTAAATATTGACCTCTGAAGAACAAGCCTGCAATAGCTACTACTATTCACACGACATTTCAAGTGATTTTCACAGCCTCCCAAGAATATGCATTTTCTAAATAGTCATGAGTTTTTTATTGTATTTATCACCTAATATAAAATGAGGCGTTGAAATAACCCAGGATACCAGATACGTTTCTGGAAGACACGATACCAGTTAAGGGTTAAGCATGATGGTTATTTTTCTGTTGGCAGGTTATAAAATGTCACTTGGGAAAAAAGTGAGTAGTTTTTTCCCGAATATATATCACATATGTACAGTGTTGATGGCTTTTGTTGTGCTATAGTTCCGAAAAATGAATCAATAATACCGTCTCCGAGAAAGAACTGCAAATCCTTTTATCTTCCATTCGACTTCGCGGTTACGTATATTACTAAACAACCACTAAATTCGCAATTTTTTGAAATCAAATCACAGAATCAGACTGACAGAAGTGACATCAGATATTTGATTACTTCAAAAGAATGATAAAGATGCCTACAACGCAGGTGTCCCTACTGTTAAAAGCTTAAAATTTCACGTCGATAATTTTCAGATTTCAAAATAATGTAATATCTTTTCAATATTGATTCGTCCTTTCTTCTGTCACAGAAAAAAATAGTGTATTGTACACGGAAAAAAAAATAGATTTTAGCTCACAGTCACACAACCTGGAACTAAAATCTACCACTTTTTTCCCTTGTATAATCAATATTTATTTATTATACAAGGGAAAAAAGTAGTAGATTTTAGCTCCAGGTTGTGTTGTCTCCCGACGTATAGCGGAGGGAGACAAAAAACCGTGAGCTAAAATCTAATATTTTTCCCGTGTATAATACACTATTTTTTTCTGTGACAGAAGGAAGGACGAATCAATATTGTGAAGGTATTACATTATTTCGAAATCTGAAAATTATCGACGTGAAATTTCAAGTTTTTAACAGTAGGGACACCTGCGTTTTATAGACATCTTTATCATTCTTTTGAAGTAATCAAATATCTGATGTCACTTCTGTCAGTTCAATTCTGTGATTTGATTTTAAAAAATTGGGAATTCAGTAGTTGTTTAGTAATAAACGAAACCGCGAAATCGAATGGAAGATAAAACGACTTGCAGTTCTTTCTCGGAGACGGTATTATTGACTCATTTTTCGGAACTATAGCACAACAAAAGCCATTAACAGAGTATATATATGTGATATATATCCGGGAAAGAAGTACTCACTTTTTTCCCACGGGAAAAAAGTAATTTATGAAAAGTGACATTTTATAACCTGCCAACAGAGATGAAATGCCAAACTTTTTTCCCGTCACAGAAAAAATAACTATTTTTATATCTAAAGCGCGAAATGCTACTTTGGTGATCGAAATCTGATTTTTTAACGAGGCATAGCCGAGTTTAAAAAATAGTCGAGATGACCAAAGTGAGTGCAAAAAACATTTTTTCTACAAACGTCAAAAAATATAGTTCTAAAGTAAAAATATGCTTAGCTTGATATACAAAATATAGTGTTGAACTTGAAAGGCCTCCCCCTATCCTCCCTAGATACGCACGATGTTCCACGAACATAATAGGAATTTCCTTTCGTGCGCTCCAAGAGATAAAACAATGTTATTGTTGAACATTCAGAAATATATGATGATACATGACAATGCGCGAAGCAGGTACTTCGCGCAATAGGTTGAAGACGGGATATATGTTTTCATAAAAATTGAGATTTCTTTAGACAGAAGAAAAAATTCAGCCTCTCAACTGAACACATAATTAACGAAAATATTCAAGGAAGGTATAATTTTTTGAATAACCACACCATAAACAAAACACCCATTTTAAAAACGGGAACAAGTCCTCTCATGAAATGAAAGTCGAAATTCAGCAATCTGGAACAAAAAATTATAAAAACTGCGTTGCAGGTGAGTATTTCACATGTCTCGAAATTAGTTTGCTTGAATGGTCATCTGTCAATGAGATTTCATTTGAATTTGTCTCTTATTGAGTGTTAACAATATTTTGTCCTCCATAGTTGTTACTGGTTAGTATATTCAGCCTTGTAATTGTGGATTTGCTGAATATGTGAACGTCCAAAATGAGAAATTCTAAAAAGAATCGATGATTCCACAAAGATAATCGATACAAGAACTGCTTTGACTCGACTCGACAAATTAAAGAGAACCCTTTTCAGAATTTAACGCTGCTTATTTTTGCAGGAACACTTCTACTCACTTGTCTCAGTGAAAACCGTATGGCAGCCCATCTGGAGAAATTTCTATATAGGCAGAAAGCCCCTACCACACGTATGAAACAACACACTAGCAGCATCCAACTCGCGTCGTTACGCAGACAATTCACTAGAGATCTACAAGAATGGCCGAATCCAATCGACAATCACCCACCCACAACAACAACAACCATGGCACTAAGCCCGAAATGAGCGCAGCCAGCAATGGGTCTGCCAAAAAAGACCAAGAAAATCCAGAAGAACAGCCGCTCATCGAAGATGGGGTAGCTCCAGCTGTATCCCCCACCAGTGACAGCAAAAACGGTAGCATCAGGTCCAAACTGAAACTAGCTAACATCTATGCCAACCCCATACCAAGCCACGAGTCAGAAAACGGTTCGTTGGACGACAAACCAGTACTGCACGTTCAGTTCAACAGCGAAAACAACAGTAACACCTCCGTCATGAAACAGCAGCCTCCCATCGCAGCTTCAAGCTTATCTTCAAGCTCATCCTCCTCTTCTTCTTCCTCCTCTAGCGAATCCATCGACATCTCCGAAGCCAGACCACCAGACGGTGGCTGGGGTTGGGTCATAGTCTTCGCCTCCTTCATAGTCAATCTCATAGCTGACGGCATCACTTTCAGCTTCGGGGTGATTTTCGTCGAGTTCTTGAATTATTTCGGGGAAAACAGAGGCACTACCGCTTGGGTAGGGGGGCTCTTCATGGCCATGCCTCTGCTGTCAGGGCCAGTAGCCTCCTTCTTGACCGACCGATACGGTTGCCGGCGAGTGACCATTTGCGGGGCTCTAATGGCATCGGCAGGTTTCATCATAAGTTCTCGAGCTAATTCCATGACAGTGCTTTGCATCACTTTCGGTATTCTATCTGGGTTCGGCTTGAGCCTTTGCTATGTAGCCTCGGTGGTTATAGTGGCTTACTACTTTGATAAGAGGAGGTCTTTTGCTACAGGTCTGGCTGTTTGCGGTAGCGGCATAGGGACTTTTATTTTCGCGCCTTTGATACAGATACTTCTGGACGAGTATGGCTGGAGGGGGACGACTTTGATCCTGGCAGGGCTCTTTTTGAATCTGGTCGTTTGTGGTTGTCTGATGAGAGATCTTCCATGGACGTCGGAGAAATTGAAATCGCAAGCTAAAGAGAGGAAGCGTACAAGACACCTCAAACGGAAGAACAGAGGGTCATCAGTCGATTCGTGTTCCATAAGTAACAGTACTAATACGCCAAGCGTGCTTCAGCCTATAGCGGAAGCTGCACAGGAAGAGGAAAATGCTACGATTGAAGACAAGCTCTACAGTTCCTTGGTGAATTTGCCTACGTACGTTAAGAACGGAGAAAAAGTGCCTATGGAAGTTTTAGAGCTACTTTCAACTCACAAGAACGTTTACAACGTACTGTTGCTGAACTACCCGAATCTATTGACTCCTTCGAGAAGCTTCAGCGACTCCGGGAGGCTTCACGAAGGTTACCTAGCCTCCAAGCACGCAGCCACGCAATCTCAGTTGTCTCCTCCTGCAGCTAACAGCGAAGACCCCAGCAAAGCCAACGCCAACGACATCGCTTACATGTGGCTGCTGAAGAAAGGCCAGACGAATGCTTCCCGAGCAACTCCTCCCAAGAAGACGACCACAGCCTATCTGAGGGACCTTAGGATACACAGGCTCTCGGTGACGTACAGGGGGGCCATGCTGAACATACACAGGTATCGGCTGAGGGCCAGTTCTTGCCCTGACATCTACAAGAACTCGATGACTACCATAGCGAAAGAGAAGGTGCAGTGGTACGCGGGACTGTGGGACTTGTGGGATCTGCTGGTGGATATGTTCGATTTTTCTCATTTCGCTGATCCCAAGTTCCTCGTGTTCGCGATGTCGAATTTTCTGTTGTACACTTGGTACGACGTGCCGTATGTGTACTTGACGGACTATGCCAGGGAGAATAAGTATTCGGAGAAGGACGCCTCGTTGTTGATATCGATCATCGGGATCGTCAATATGGTGGGAGAGGTAAGAATTCAATTCAATTTATTTCGTGCAGGGTCGTAACGATCTTTGTGTACAAAATCTGAGAGGTGACAAAAATGTACCATAAATTAAATACAGGGCGTTACAGTTCGATACAAAAATATCATTTGTTATATACGGGGTGGAGACTTTAACTGGAATAAATTCGCTACTAGGGTAGTGAATGATTTTTCTGAAAATTCGCGAGATACGTCAACGATTAAATGTATTTGGGCAATATGGAGAAAATAACCCATCTGGGGTAGCTGGAATCAACCCCAACATGTTTTTTTCAAATGCATCCCTAGGGCTTGCGACCTCTCATTGGAAAGCTGGTTGAAATAGGATTCCAGGATACTGATCATATTTCAGTGTGCAGTACGTTTGGGGGTCGCAAAAAATCAAAATATAATTATAATATATAATTTCGAATTTTAATATATTTTCATTTTCACATTTTGCAATAACACTTCCTTTCAACATGTGAATACGGCAAACAATCTAAATTTAGCAGATAGCAGTAGTGGCAAAAAATTGCTATCAAATTATTCAACACACGTTTTGAGCGATTGATACGTTGAAAACAAATGAATTCTGAAACTACATTTCAATTGTATGCAATCTATGAACGCATTAAAAACTAAAATTTGACTAGTACGCTGTATTCCTCTTTCGACCAGCTTTCCAATGAGGGTTAATACCATAGGGTTACATCTGTTTTTATCGATTCAATATTGGAGATATTTTGTGTGTGATGATCGAAACTAAGGTCTTTGTCAAACATAACACCTAAATCACTTATATAATCAACAGACTGCAAATTGCCATTATCAATAAAATGATCACATACAATTGGATATTGTATTTTATAAAAACGCATCACCTAGCATTTTTCAACATTTATATCCAGTAAATTCAGTTCACAAAAGTTACTTAACTTCTCCAAGTCTTGTTGAATAATCTTCAAATTCAAACAAGTTACCTCTTTGGTAACCAAGATACTATGACATTTTGAAATAAATCAGTAACATCATTTATGAATAATGAGAACAGTATAGGACCAATGTGAGACCCTTGGGGGACTCCAGAAGTCACATAAATTGGATTTCATATACTGTTAGACATTTTTACGTATTGTGCCGACCACACCTAATCCCTCCAAGTTAGCAATTAATAGCTAATGATTTACTGAGTCAGAAGCCTTGGCAAGATCTGTATAAATGACATCCACCTGGTAACCCCTCTCGAGTTTATTACACAGCGTATTTTGGAAAACACCTAGATTGGTAGCAGTTGATCGACCTTTAAAGAAACCATGTTGTTGTTCTGACATCACATGTTTAGTAGTTTCAAATAGCTCATCCGTGAGTATAGAGTCATACACAATATTGTTCATTGAAAAAATTGCGAAAATCGCTCATATTGACCACATTTTCCATAAGCTAGTGACCTCTATTCCGATCTAAATTATATATTAATTGTTATCCTGGCTCCAGAAAATTTACAAGTTCCTGTCAAGATCCACTTTTCTGTCAAAAATTTCTCATGATTGAACGTTTAAACATTTCAAGTACTTACACAAATGAGGAAAGCATCAGCATGCATACAAAAAATAGTAGATAGTTTTATTAGGATCAAATGTGACACTTTGTTTGACAAGCGAATTTTGCATTTGCTAGTCGGAGCGTCTAGCGAAGCCGAGAATCAGTTATTGATATAGCAGCAGTGTTGAGAAAAGGTATTTAAAAAAAATTGGATTTGGTTTTTGGAAAGAATTACAAAATATAATTTTCGAGAAAGATTTACGTATGTATCCTAATATTTTTCAACGAAGATTTTCAAAATGTCCTCCAATTTCTATACATTTTCTGTACATCTTCGAAAGATCTCTTATGGCTTTTCGAATAATTTGCCTATTATTTCTGATCATATCTGAAGCTGTAACAATCCTCTCTCTCAGTTCCTCTCTGGTATTGACTTTAGTCTGATAGACCAATCGTTTCATATGTCTCCATAGATAATAGTCTAATACAGTGAGATTAGGAGACCTAGGAGGTCAAGAATGAGGGTCGCCACGACCTATCCAGCGATTAGAGAATTGTTTGTCTAGGTATTCTCTCACTTGTATTGAGTAATATGGAGGTGCCCCATCCTGTTAAGAGAAAATAGGTACCTATTTCAATCCATTTTCATACATCCTTGCATCACAGCTTTCTTTTGTAGTGTTTTCTGAATAATGAAACTATACCATACTCACAATTTGATTCGCTGATTGAGAGAGTTCACATGCAATAAGATCATATTCAATGTTACCTCAAAATTTTTTATTTGTATGAGTTGGCACGTATACCTGATTCGAAAAAAATATTTTTTCTAAGCAATGATTTTTTATATTTTCTTATCTCTTGTGCACGAAAGGAAATTCCTATATTGTTCGAAGAACATCGTGCGTACATATGGAGGATAGGGAGAGGAGGTAGGTATTGTTTTTTTTTTTGTAAAATTTGGTACTTATTTCCATGTTTTGAAAGGTCTATTCAAGAAAAGTTAGTCCGGTCCTGGAATTTTTCATCGAATTGAGCCTCTTTCCAACTATAATGCACCGATATACAAGAAATGGATTTAAATGAATTTGTTGAAATCATGGAATTGTTCATCAGTAGTTGGTTCGATATTTTTTCACCAATCCGGTCGAAGTGTGCCGTACAATTTTAGGTTAAAGTTTTCATAACATCCCCGAAGACAAATTACAATTTCCATCTGATTTCTTAATTTCAAGTAAGTTGTTGGTTTGTTGTTTGTTCGATTTCGGTGTTCCATTTCAACGATGATGTGAATTTGAGGCAACATGCAATGACTTCCAACAACATCAGATAACAGTTTCTTCATGAACCTCATTTATTTTACAATAATTAATTGATATTCCAGTAATGAAGATATTGTAGTAAGATATTATCAATAATAGTATAAAGATAATTGAGCAGTTCCCACTTCTTTATTCTTTTATCAACAACAGTTTCTTATTTATGCATCCTGCTTTCCTTATTTTTGATTCAAGGACTTGAAATGTTTGAACATGAGACATTTTTTATTATAAGCTTGTCAGAAAGGTGGATCTCAACAGGAATTCGCTATATTTATAGGGTTAGAATAACGAACGAATAACTTAGTTCGGAATAGAGGTCACTAGAGTGACTTTATAAAGTGGCGTTAATAGACGTGAACTTTTTGATTGGTCAGACCTCAATATGGAGGTGTACCCACCTGTCTTGTTATCTCCATTCAGTTTTACACAGTCTTTTCTCACTTTGTCACTGTTTCTCGCTCTTTGGTGCTCTTCGGGCACAAAGCATCCAATAATCAGGCATTAAGGTCTATACGTCAGTACCTTTGATATTAACTATTAGAATCCGTATATTGGTACTTGTAAGTCTCAGATTATTTAGATGATGAAATGAAAATATCAAACATCTAATCCTAATATCAGGTGGGCACTTCCAAGGCGCAAATTCATTACTGCGTGGGAGATACCCTTCAGATTTTTAGCTATTCAGTGACTTTACCACGAATGACATTCCGGAAACGGCAGCCATTTGAAGGTCTATTGTCATCACTCTATTCAATCTACTCACTCTAGAGGCCACTAGCTCACTGAAAATGTGGTCGATCACGGCGATTTTTGCATATTTTTGTTCCAAAATAGACAATATTATACTTTGGGGTGTAACTAGGTGTTCATTTAGAATGACAATGATCTGACGCGCAGTGTTGCCAGCTGCTGAACATGAAATGTCGCAAATAGATTCGAAAAAAAAACACTAGAAGTTGCCACAGCAAGCAAATCGAGCAGAAAGCCCGCAGGCGAAATTTCTGAAAATTTAGCGACATTTGTCCGTGATTTAGCGACATTTTTGATCATATTTTGTCATTTTCAGGTAATTTTATCAGATAAAAAATCGTTAAAAACTATATTCATTCAAAATCTGTTCAGAATAAAAAAAGCAAATCTTGAAAAAAATTTGACACAAATCCTTTGAAATTTCATTTCATTCGGTAGTATGAGGTAGGTACATACATTGATAAATCACAAAATAATTGATCTTGGTCGTATTATTGAAGTATTTCTTTGATCAAATCACACATTCATATATTTATAAACCTGTCAAACTCATATTTCTGGATCAACATCATACAGATCTGCGACTTCAGTACTGATTTTGGCAAAATAAAATCTTCATAGCATCATATATTTTTTTATTACCATATCTAATAATATATACAAAAATGGCAAAAATATTATTCAAAAGTGGAAGAAAATTAAAACAGATGTGCCTAAATCTTTCGAACCATTCCCTTCACGTGATATGTTGAGATTCGTGTTTTTTTTATGATTATTGTTCGTAATAAAATTGTGGAGGATGAGTTCGGTCAGGGAGTATTATTCTGGTCCACGAATAGCAGGGCGCCAGCCCACTGTTATCATTTGTGTTGTGATTTTGGCTTTCAAGAGACCCAGAGAAGTTTTTCTACGAGGGATTGCGCATGCGTCCATAATGGATCACGTGATTCACTGTGACCAATCTGACAATGCTGTTTGAGAATGGTTCGAAAACATTGGGCACTCGTATGAAAACAATCCCTGTCCTCTGTCATTTTTCTCTTCTTCTCATCTCTTCGTCTTGAATGTTTCAATGTGAATTCATATCCGTCATCACCGATTCATGTGATCAGAATATCTCCATATAAACCGCTATGATTATGTTGAAAACGCAAGGATTCAGACACGTCGCAAATCAGGTTGAAATGTCGCATTCACCTACCCTGAAAACTTGAAAACTCTTAGATTCAGCGACAAAACCGCTAAGATTGCGACCCTGCTAACGCGGATCATTAACTAGCGGATAAAACCGGCAATTGATAAACCTGCAATATGAATAATTGGAATATTTTCTCCGTAGATAATCCTCGGATGGGCAGGCGACAGATCGTGGGCGAACGCGGGCATAATCTACGCGGGCTGCATGGGCCTTTGCGGGGCCGTGATAGCCCTCATCCCCGTGGTGACCGACTACGGGCTGCTGTTGTCCCTCTCAGGAGGCTTCGGCTTCTTCATCGCCGCCAACTACTCGCTCACCTGCATCATCCTGGTGGAGCTGATTTCGTTGGACAGGTTCACGAACGCCTACGGGCTGTTGTTGCTGGTGCAAGGGGTGGCCAATCTCATTGGTCCGCCCTTAGCAGGTGAGCGGAAAACGAACGGCTGCTGAAAGACCCTCCCATATCCTTTTTGACTCGCTTGTATTACAAAGGAACAATGAACTCAATACCTGGAAGGGATCCTCTGTGAACGACGAGTGCGGCAAAAATATTGTTTAGGCAACCCGCAGTGGTTACGGATACCTATCTCTTTTTATTTTATGTTGGTTAATGGGAAGCGCTCGCATTATTTGAATATTTTCTTGTTTTTTGCTTTTATTCCAGAGCATAGTATAATATAAATATTCATTCAGAAAAAAGGATAATGTTGCAATCAATTCTTATTTGAAAATAATTATTGATTTTTTTATCGACTCAAAAGTGAAATTTCATTTTTATTCTTCCAGGATTAGGAAGGCAAATGAATACAAAATTGAAATTTTATATTCTCATTCAAATTCCACAATATATTGTACAGGGTGAGCGACGCTCAATGTCTCAGCACTATCAGAAGAAATAGAAAAACGATAGAAAAATTTGAAAAGAGGTTCTTGAATGGTATCGAGTACCTAAGGTCTATTTTGAACTTAATTTTTAAGAATACCTATTTTTCCATAAACATTTCACTATTAGAAGGTGAATGAGAAGTGAATAAAAAGTGAATAAAAGTAAAATGTTAGCACGAATTTTTTTCATTAAAGATGAATACCTGCTTCGCCCAGAATGTACACCTTCATTTTTTTCTTCCTGGAGAGGGAGAAGGTCCAAAGGCAAATCTGAAAAGACAATATTATGATGTAGCTTTTGAGTTTAAAAATTTGATCTTGTAGTTCCTACCTTCAAAATGTTTTTTTCAGTACCTTTTAGTACCTGTTTCAGTGTTCTCACTTTTCTTTGGAATAGAGTAGGCCTTCTCGAATGAAAGAGTTTGTGGGTTTCATTATCAATAAACTTTGAAACTTACATGGGAGCTGGAAGTTGTCAACAAATCAATGTCCATATGAAAAACATTGTCTTTATATAGAATCCAAGTTATAAACATCCACAGACGCATCCACAGACACATCCTGAAAATAAATTACTATAGTTTTTCTAAGAATCTGAGCAATTTTCAACTTACCCATGGAGGAGAATTTCTGTTTGCCTTGCATCCAAAGGCAACACAATATTAATAACCATTGTTTATTAATTCGATATCACGAATCTCTTCAACAATAATCAATTCAAACCAACAAATTCAGTCCTTTTGAAGAAACAAAACACGCTAAATTTAGCGATATATCACATAACAAAAACAATGAAGTTCTGTCTTCACTTTTTTGTCTGTTCAGATGAAAAAAAAAATATCTCGAGTACTCCAATCATTGGATAAAAGACAAGTAATACACCAATCCGCCATTATAAACAACACGAGTGTGAAAGAGACAGGTTACCGTAACACAAGCTATCTTTGTTGCAGCTGCCCCTGACACACTTTGTGCTATTCGAGAAACCGGCCGTCTCCCTTCAAGGTGTTTATATTGAGTTCATTGCAAAGGAAGGAAGGAATGCTCCAAGTCTCTCCATGATAAAATACCAACCTCGGTAGGAAGTTTCATTCCTGTCTATAGCTTTGCGTCTCGGTTAACTAACTAATCTCACGACAAGAATGAATCACTTCCTACCTCGGCGTGTACCATTTTCCCACCACTAGCTATAGAACTACCATTATTTACTCCTGTTCAAGCCGTGAAAAGTGTTTTTACTTCCAAGATAGTTTTCTTCATTTTGTGAACCACTAGTCAATAATGACATAGCTAGCCACCTCTGTTCTAATTAGCCCAAATTCACTGTTCTGATGCGATTTTCGCAGGAATGGCACTCGAATCTAGTAGGTATTTATCAATGACGACTTGTCATATACTGTCGTTCTAGATTTTAATTAGAATTGAAAAAAAAGTGTATCAATAGATCCATATATATATTTCAGTTTCACAGACCTATAATGATTGCAATATATTGCTATTTGCGATAGAAAATAAGCGTTCCAAATTCGTCCAAGTGACTGTGTTAGTCCTTAGCTTAGTCATTTTTGAATTTATGAGAAAAGTATCAGACGGTTCTTGTTTAGAATCGAATTTCTTATCGATTTTGAATATTATATACGTGACAAAAAAGTATATCAATAGATCCATATATATATTTCAGTTTCACAGACCTATAATGATTGCAATATATTGTTATTTGCGATAGAAAATAAGCGTACGCCACCTATCAGATGTCTTGCAAGCTGTCAAAGTCCTGTTTACTTTGTTTTTCATTGGTTCACCTTTGTTTTTTGTTTGTGCTTATTGGTCACATCATTAAAATAAACCGCTCAGAAATGTTCAAGTGTTTGCCGTCAGGTGGAGCTACGCGTGTTATTTTCTATTGTGAATTGGTAGATGCATCTTGGTAGTAAAGAATAATACCCCTATCGGCTGAAGCCTCTGGATATAATGTTGGTCTCTGGGTAATACTGATATTCTTTACTACCTTGATGGTATATAAATAACTAGTGCTTCGGATTTTTTGATACATATGAATTTTAAGTTCTGTTGGAAATCAAAACGTTCTGTTTCAGGTTGGATTTATGACATCACTAGTACCTACAACTTGTCCTTCTACCTTTCCGGTCTGTTCATAGCAATATCTGGTCTCATCCTGATTGTTATACCAGTTTCCAATTACTACAAGAGAACGATGATGCTGAGACAGCAGAAATCCTACGAATCTTCCGTGAAGGAGGAATCTCCGAATGAAAAGGAACATTTCGATGGTTTGCGTGAATCTGTGGAGGTCAGCAACGAAATGCGTAAGGTAGTAGATGAAGTAAAGATTAGCAAATAAACTCCGCAAGTGAACTTAAAGCAGTGATTAATAATTAGTAGTTTGAATTTATACAGGGTTACTTGCAATGTTTGGCCCTTCCCTATCATTTCTTCCAATTTCAAAAATCCTGAAGAAAATTGGATGAAGAAGTTGCATTCCATCTATGTATCTTCCATATCCGAAATGAGACAGGCGTCCATCAGACAGGATCCCTTTTCAACATAAACAATTTTTTGTCACAAAATCGATTCATATAAATATCCAGTAGGTAAAGGAAATGAAAATTTAAGGTGGTTTGGATCTGGAACCATTAACGTAAAAAACTACAGGGTGTTTCATTCGAGTTAATGATGTATTGGTGTCTCCAATTTCGTCAAGTTTTTTCATTGACAGAGTGTTCAATATTTCGAATTGATTCCGTAGGAACAAATGGAATACATCTTATTATTCCGTTCCAATATCCAGATAAATATCACAAAACATTTTTTATATGCCTCTACAAAATCAGTTTCTCACAAAAAAGTGAATTATTTGGCAACCGTGGAGTCAAATACAGAAAACTAGAAAGAATTGTAAATGCAATTGGAAACAGGGCATTTATAAAAGTCATCATCAGCAGATATCTTGGAATTCGAACCACCTTCATATAGATATGTAATTAATTTTAGGTGATAGTTCTCATGAAACCCAATAACTGTAATATTTGCTTTTTTTCTATACAGGGTTTTCAAACTTGAGAGTCGGCACTATATTGCAAACTTGTTTATTGTTGGAGCTACAAAGTCAGTCAAATGGACAAACTTGTCTGATCATGATGATGAAATTGAAAGAAACATCACGAAACGTAATTCTCGGTCTAAACGTAATTTTCGGTCTAAACGTAATTTTCGGTATTTATCCAAATGGGACATAATATTTCATCGTGACTTCAAAAATGACGAAGCTATCGACGATTTTTCGGATTCGTCCAAGTGACTGTGTTAGTCGTTAGCTTAAGTCATTTTTGAATTTATGAGAAAAGAATCAGACGGTTCTTGTTTAGAATCGAATTTCTTATCGATTTTGAATATTATATACTGGGTGTCTCATTTAAAAAAATTGAACTTTTTGACATAACTGGTAAATGCTATGTTAGATTTTTGTTTCGTTTTCATAAACGTGATCAGCGGGAAAAATACTATTAGTTTGTCCATTTAACCGACTTAATAACTCGAATAATAACCAAGTTAGCAATAGTGCCGACTCATAAAGGTTGAAAACCCTGTATATCTGACGGTTTGGCTAAAATCGAAGGAGAATAGTGACTCACCCAGTAGAAGAGTGGTAATCGTTTTGGATAAGAGGTCTTGTCCTGTGGACTAGTTTCTTTATTGCAATTGTTTTTAAATAGTAGTGAAAAAAGATATAGGTACATTTGATGTTATCTCACTTTTTCATGACCTCTTTCAATAGGAAAATTGATAGAGAAGGTTCAAAAATTGATAAAATAAACCTCTGGTGTACGCACTTCACTCCTTTCCTGTTTTACAATGGATTTTTTTTGTTTACAAGTGATTGAAATAGTTTTTCACAATTATTATGGCATACGAATCGTGTTTTTCGGCTATTGTGCTGATGTACAATGCACAAAAAATGCAGCGGGAGACGAAGGAATCCGGTTGGTATATTATGATTCAAAAATAAGTACCTACTATATAGTCACTCACATATAGTTTTCATTTTTCAAATTTGGTAATTTCTCTGATTTCTCATCGGAATTCCTTCTGCAAAAGGAACTAATAGAAATACTCGTGAAATTTCTAAAATAATGCAAGAAGATTGGGTGTGTTGTAGTCATTTTCAATCTTCCAGCATTATTAGCTTCTACTGCTGAAGGGGCAGGAGGAATTTTAATAAGAAATGACAAAATTTCATAATCAAAACTATGTGAGATTACTATTGACCTAAAAAATCACATTCCTTCGTCTCTCGCTACATTTTTTGTGCATTGTAGGTACAACAGCACAATGAGAAGGCATGCTTGAATTGATGAATTGTGCAAAAAACACGATTCGTATGCCAAAATATCGTGAAAAACTATTTCAATTCTTTGATTCCTCTGTAAACAAATAAAAAGAATGAGGTTGTGTTTCAATGTTTCACAGAATAGTGAGGTTGTGTTTCAATATTTTACCTTCAGGGTTGATCATCGTGCACGCGACCTATTCCTTGATTCTCGCCTACTTCGATAAACATAACATGGCGTGGGTCTCGCTAAGTTTAGTCTGATGCCGTACCAAAATTACAGGCATCAATGTGACAATAAATTGTGACCGAATTGTGACCAATGAAGATAGGGAATACATTTTGCGATTTAGCCGTTTCAAGGTTGGTAGAACTGATGTTGATCATAAGTTCCCTTTGATCTAAGTAAGTTCCACATACCGTGAGCCACAATAGGAATCACGCTATCTAACATCACGTCATCGTCTGAAATTCAATTGTTTATATCAAGAATCAAATGAAGAGTGAGTGCACCAAAGGTTTATTTCATCAATGTTCAAAATATAGTGATTCCTATGCACGTCCAACGACCTTGATTTTTATAGTGGGTTGGGAGAAATGAATAATAACCAGTAGCTAGTTTTGTAGATATTTTGATATTGATCGAGGTATCTTGGGATGTTTTCGATACTTACAGCTTATCTTGTGAAACAATCAAATCTTCGTTATTTTGCATCTCCTAGCTTCCTGATTCCATCGAATTCCTCGTTATAGCGGCACTCGCTGCATTCAAATTTGAAATGTTATTATGTATGTACCTTCGGTAGGAGGGAAGCCAGAAACATTTTCTATCTATGGAAGTTTGGAACACAAATAACATAGTTGTTTTAATAAATGCAGATGTCGCCTCAGTAACATCATCTTGCTTCTTCCAACAATTTTCTTTGATTTATGAGAGAGATGAAATTATATAAAAATATATACATATGTATATACTTGTATGGCTATAATATCAAATCTCTATCGAGTCACACAACCAGAAAACTAATATTGTAACTTTCAAGTTGGAAAATGTTTATAATGTCCCTATTAACTACACTTTCGAGTCTCAGGTTATAAAATTAGATAATGTACATATTATTATGTTAGTGATCTATGTTTCTTTTAAACATTTTGATGTATTTTGTTGAAAAATATTTAAGTTTTCTCGTCTTGTTTCAAAACTCTTCAATACACTTGCACTTGCAGGGCGAAAAATTAATCCTGATGTCAAATGAAACTATCAAATTCCACAGTGACGTAAATACCTATACAGAGAAGTCCACAAAAAACGACCAGGACTGTAACTTTTCAATTACAATATGTTAGGGATTACCATGACGAATTCATCGATACCGGGTTTGATAGGGTTATTTCAAACGACTACAAAGATATTTGCGATCGAAGTTTCCATATGCTTAACTTCTTTCTCTGTCACACTCATTGAGCATATGCAAACTTAGAACGCGAATATCTGCGTAATCGTTTGAAATACCCCTATCAAACCCCGTATCGATGAATCCGTTATGACAATCCATAACCGATTATGGAATACAATACGGGGTGGGGTGTCCCATTTGAAAATCAAAAGTTGGGGTCGGTTCCAGTAAAACCGAAAGTGATAGAACAAACATTTTTTCGTCAATTAATGAGCAATTTGCTATACTAGCTGCCCACCAATTGTTGGAACCCTATCTGGAATAATTCAAAAGTTATAGTCCTGACCGTTTTTTGTGCACTTCTCTGTACAATATGTTTTTCTATAAATTTATTTCGGGGTGGAAGAGTATCTATTTAAATAATAATTTTGCAAGGTTAAGAGCCTTCAAATAAAAAGTTAGGTTTTTATTAATTTTTAGAAAAAAAAATAAGTGAATTTGAGATATTTTGATTTATTTAATTGATATGGAGCATTTGGATTTTTATTTTGTTTCTTCCACCCACAAGTTGAGTATATACGCCACTGCAATACAGGATGTTTTACGAGTTGTAGTGACAAATGCCTAGGGCAGGAGCGCTCAGCACTCTTTTTTTTTTCAGAAAACATTAACTCCCTGTATCTCGTACAGGAAGCATTTTCTGACCCATCTTCATGATAGTTATTTGTTTCGCCAGGCAGAAAAGAAGAAGATTTATTGCCGCGGCTGGTTTTTCATAGCCGAGACTTATTGGAACGTTGCATAGCAACAAACTTTTTCTGACTAGGCAAAAGGACACCTTTTGTGCCGCTCAAGTGTCATTAAAAAGCATATATCTACTATTTCTATATATGGCGCATCGCCTATACTCCTATACGATATCTCAACAAAAATGGGACCAAAATGAGAGGTAATTTTTGAATCTATTAGGACGGAAAATGAAGGATTGAAACTGCTGACGTGAGAATCAGATTTCAAGTTAGGTTAGGTTCGTAAATAATTATTTGATCATAATGAAATATTAAAAATCATCATAGTACCTTTGTGCAAGTCAATATATAAACAAGAAAATTTTAAAATTCAAACTTACTTATGAAAAGAGGATTCCTGTCTGTTCTTTTCTCCGCAAATACTGCACTCCACTAGACATGGTTAAAAAAGTCCAGTCTACAAAAAATAAACGAAAACACAAACACTAAAGAATTGGACAACTAAAAACGCAAATATTCGAATTTCAATCACATACACGCTAAACCAATTTTAAAATTTGAAATTCGTAGCCATGATTTCGTATTTGTTACATATAGAGGCAGAAGTTTGTCCCGCTTTGAGGACAGCTATGCTTCATATAAAGAGTAGTAGATATATGTTAAAAAGTCACTTTTAATGTCATTTGGAGAAAAAACTTTTCCTTCCATATTTTGCTGGTCGGGATCTTCTCTAGGCTTGTGTCAACTTGTACAACTTTGAAACAATCTGTATAAAAAATGTTGATGTCAAAGAAAACTGATTGCAAGATTGTGAAGAAAGACGAGACTATTATAGAAA